AAATCATAGCATTGCATATTATTAGAACTTTCAAATTACATCTTCTTCAGAAAGATAATGAAAAACGAAGCAAGATCCACTGATGGCATTTAATTAACAAATTAATTATATGTGGTTTACCTGTACTTTTTAAGACCTCATATGTGTGATGTCCTGAAGTACCTGTTTGTGAGACAAGGGCTGTGGGTTTCCAGTAGATTCTAACAAAGTCTTAGACCTCAGTTTTCAGGAAAGGGCTTTCAAAGCTTTCCAATCTTGGCCTGTAACATATTTTTCCAACATTTTTAACCCTACTGTCCCCTCCTGCCCCGCATACTCCATTGCTTTAATCTGACAAATTCTATGGCACTTTTACATGGAGACTTTAACGTACAGATGGATTATAGATCCAGGATGTTCTCTTATTTTCTCTTACAAATGCTAATTTGGTATTATGTTTCTAACGTGGAGTACAGAAAAACCTGTCCCTTCTGAGTCACGAGGAATGGCCTGTTTACTTGCATGCCTTCAAATTCTGTCCATTTAAGTGACTGGGAACATGACCAGAAACACATAATGCGCTATTTGCCAATTCTAATAGCAAAAATTGTTTAGACTTCAGAAATATCTCATTGTCTATGAATTCCATTAAAACATCCATCTCTGCATGGGCTTTGTTTCCCTCTCATAGTCTGTATTTCTTCATTTCCATTTTCCTTTAAAGACTATTATGATTTACATGATCTTGTCAATCAAGTTCTTTATTTGGTTTATTGTAGGTGTTGTTTTCTTCCTTATATTAACTTCTCATAGCGTTTGAAAGAAAAGGTCTCTGCTTTTTCTTTGCAATCTTGATGCTGTTAGACAACTTAAGTTGGAAAGGGAGAAAGCAGACAGAGCATTAACCTACTGAAGTGCACAGGCATTAGGAACATTAAACCTATAAGATGATTGGTCTGTTTGGCTTAAATGTATTTAAAATGTATTTTCTCACAAGTGTAAAATGAATTTGTTGGATCCCTTTGTCATTTTAATTTTGCTTTGTGCTATTTCTGTAGCATTTCAGTAACTTCTAGGAGACTGAGTTTCATATTTACTGTGTGTTCGTTATATGGCTAGTGTGTGTTCATGCTAACAGAGATTTTGAAACTGCTGAGCTAATAAAATGTAATTACTAGTTTAACCAATAACATTCTATTTCCAGGTACATCCACCTTTATGGAAGCATTAGCAGCCAATGGTACAACCAACATACAAACATCTGTAACAGGAGTGACAGCCAGCAAACGGAGGTTTATTGATGACAGGAGAGATCAACCTTTTGATAAAAGGCTACGTTTCAGCGTGAGGCAAACGGAGAGTGCGTACCGGTACAGAGACATTGTTGTCAGGAAACAGGATGGATTCACACACATTTTGCTATCAACAAAATCATCGGAAAATAATTCACTAAATCCAGAGGTCAGAACAATTCTGATTTTTTTTTTTTTTTTTTTTTTTTTGAGGGGGAGGGTGTTGAGGGAATTCGAAGTCTCTGCCTCGTTTGTGCCCGTTATTCAGGCACAAACGTACATGAAACAAGATTCAGCTTGCTGCTTGCAAGACGTTACACATACAACTGACTTTAAGTGTAATTCAGCTGAGTTTTAACTACATTATCTGAACCTGTGGATGTACTGTCTCTTACAAGACATATAGTGATTTATTAAGTGCAATTTGAACCTTAATTCAGGCTAAAGCTTGTTTCTTTTTTTTCTGAACTGGTTGCATATGCCATCTGCTGTCCAAATTACAGAAATGCTAAATGAGTGCTTCAGTTACAGATAACATCTAATAGATCCTTTCTTAATGATTTCATTATCTTAATTAAATTTTTGAAATACAAAGCTTTTAATACTTTTTTCTAACGTTCTTATTTTGGGATAATGGAAAAAGTCAACTTTTCTAATATGATGGTTGAGTGGATGCTAAGGAAAAATTAAAGATCTCATGGGAGGAGGAGGAGAGCGGTCTGTTACTTTTTAATGATGTAATAAAAAGATTCTAATGAATTTTTGATTTTTCAGGTAATGAAGGAAGTCCAAAGTGCACTGAACACAGCGGCTGCAGATGACAGTAAACTTGTGCTGTTCAGTGCAGTTGGTAGCATTTTCTGCTGTGGTCTTGATTTTATTTATTTTATACGACGTTTAACAGATGATAGAAAAAAGGAAAGCACTAAGATGGCAGAAGCTATTAGGTATGTAAGATTATCTTCAGTCATCCGAGTGGGTATTCTTCATCGTGTAGTCTGGCGTGTTTTATCTTTTTTTTTATTTGAAAAGCCTCTAATTCAACAAGATCTCAGACACTGACCTGTTATATGATATAGTGTGCAGCACTTCTTTAAGCTCCCTCTCCCTTTCCGTTTGGGTTGTCATTTCATGCATCTCTATTTTTGCTACTAAAATTTAACTATGTAAAACTGGTAGTATGGTAATACTCCTCCAATTGAAACCAATTTTAAAAGACTTAAACAGCCATAGGGCTTCAGGAAAACAAATGTAACATACACAAATACAAGATGTGCATTGAACAAGTAACTTACTATAGTACATTCAGAGCAGCGGAATGATGGATATTTTAGAGCAGTAAATTAACACTAGTGAACACCATCCCAAAGCTAGGTACCAAACCTAACGTTTAAACAAAATGAGCTGAACTACTACAAACTAGAAGAGTATATATGGAAAAAAGTATGGATCCTGGAGACATGTTTTACCAGTACAAGCAAGTAGCTTATTTGAACACTGGTTTTGAGGGCCAGGGCTCTTGGATTAGCTCTTGTGTGCTCCCAGAGTATCTATATTTCTTCAGAGACCTGTGTTCTGTTGTCATTATCAATATTCGTGTCCCTACGTAAAGCTTTGTAACATGTAAAGCCTGTTTCATTGGAGGCACAGTTGCCTCATACAGGCGGTAGCACGTTTTTTTCAAAGGCAAATTTTCAATCCTCCCATGTCAAAGTTGCTGATGCAGTGACTTCAGATGTGGCCAAGGGACAGAGGCTCTGAACACTGAGCTTCTGTCACTGGCTTAATTCAGGCCCTTCCAGAAGCCTGATTTGTCACCTGTTACTCACTGTTAAGGAAATGGATAAAGATAACTTAAAACACCTACAACCCTTCCCCTACTTCAGATAGAATAATAGTATTTTTTGCATATATGCTAGAGATTGTCCTCTCTGGAATATTCAGATGTGATTACAATTATCTTAAGTCTCTGGATGGGATGTTTGTATGACAACTTGTATAACAGGGTTCCAGTAGAAATTTTTTTGCAGTCATCTATTTCAGTTCAGTAGAATGAGTTAAGAAGCAGCATGATAACCTTTAGTGATGGCTGCAATATAGTAAAAATGTCCTGTTTCACAGAAATACAAAAACATGTAACACAGATAAAGAGCAAACTTTAAAATTACCACTAACTCCCCCTCTTTTTTAAAAACTTTTTATAAATATCCCATATTTCAGCATCTAATATTGAAATGAAAACCCATCTGTCATTCAGAGCAAAGGAGTGCTTTACAGGTGCTGACAACTGTATGTTGTATATTGTATTCCAATCAGAATTTGTCATGTACTTGAAGTAAATATGGACAATTTCTTCATTACATGTGGTAGTTATTAACTGAGAAATGTCTGCACCTCAATCTTGAGGTTTTGGAAGTCTCTACTTGGTCTGATGCACACATGTATGTACACACACGCTTACTTTATCCGAAGAAGCTCTTGAAGGCATTTACTGTTTGAGAACAGAGAAGCATGTAAGCATCCATGCTTTGTGGGTACTGGAACAAATTGTCATTTTGTGTTGATAATGGGGATGAGAATATGCATTTGTAACTTAATAGCACAGCACCTATAGCATTATGACCGAGAGAGGGAGATGAGGTGAGGAAGTTTACAGGTGTGTGATATGTGATAATGGAGCTCTACTATTTATGGCTTGTACATAATTTAAAAAGAGAGATTTATTTATTAAGAAAAGCTGTCTCCCAAAAGTCCAGAAATACTCCTTGAGGAAATTTGTTAATGCTTGGTCCATCTTCACTTACACCTATGTACCTTATGCCTTCACTTAAAAGTATAGACAGATACTAGACCAAGTATATAGACCAAGTATATAGGTCTTTGCTATAGACCATAGCAAAGACCAAGCAGAGCTGTAACCACAGTTTTGGTGCCCAGAGCTGAGGTATGACTACAGCCTTATCTGAGAGGGCTGTGAGGTATGTGAATATACTGCAAGCGCCACATCAGCTTGTAGAAGCAGCATTAAATCCACACCTGCCCAACCACTGTGCTGCTTTGGGCTGGGAGAAATGCGAGTCTTTTGCAGAATCAGGGAATGGTTGAGGTTGGAAGGGCCCTTTGGAGGTCATCTTGTTAAACCTGCCCCCACTCAAGCAGGGTCACTGAGAGCAGGTTGCTCGGGACCATGTCCAGGCAGGGTTTTTGAATATCTCCAAGAATGGAGAGTCCACAACCTTGCTGGCCACCTGTTCAGTCACCCTGACAGTAAGAAAATGTTTCCTGATGTTCAGAGGGAATGCTGTGTTTCTGTTTGTGCCCACTGCCTCTAGTCCTGTCACTGGGCACCACTGGAAACAGCCTGTCTCCATCCTCTTTGCACCCCCCCCTTCAGGTATTTGTACACATTGATGAGATCCTCCCTCAGCCTGGTCTTCTTCAGGGTGAACAGTCCCAACTCCCTCAGCCTTTCCTCATGTGAGAGTTGCTCCGGTCCCTTCATCATCTTGGTGGCCCTTTGCTAGACCATCTTCTCTTTCACTGGGGAGCCATAACTGGACACCAGTGCTGAGCGGAGGGGAAGGATCACCTCCTGCAACACTCATCCTAATGTCAGGCCAGGATACCGTTAGCCACCTTTGCCACAAAGGCACATTGCTGGCTCAAGTTCAACTTGGTGCCCACCAGGACCCCAAGGTCCTTTGCTGTCAAGCTGCTTTCCATCTGTTTGGCTTCCAGCATATACTGGTGCCTGGGGTTGTTCTTCCCCAGGTGCAGGACTTTGCACTTCCCCTTGTTGAACTTCATGAGGTTCCTGTCAGCCCATTTCTCCAGCCTGTCGAGGTCCCTCTGGATGGCAGCGTGACCCTCTGGTGTATCAGTCTAGTTTTGTATCATCAGCAAACTTGCTGAGGGTACACTCTGTCTCATCATCCAGATCATGAAGGAAGCAGTTGAACAGTACCAGACCCAGCACTGACCCCCTGGGGTGCAATACTAATTACAGGCCTCCAACTAGAGTTGGTGCCACTGTTCACCACCCTCTGGGTGAGTCATTCAGACAATTTTCAATCCACCTCACGTTCTGCTGATCGAGCTCATACATCAACAGCTTGACTGTGAGTGTCTTATGGGAGACAGTGCTGAAAGCCTTGCTGATGTCTAGATAGATGATATCCACTGCTCTCCCATCATCCACCAAGCTAACCACCTCATTGTGGAAGGTTATCGGGTTGATTTTGAAAGTGATGTTACTGTGGAGATGAATTACTACTGAGTTTTCAAGGGCTGGTATATTTTACTATATATATGTAGTGAGTGCATGTTTCTGTTTCTCTTCAGGAATTTTGTGAATACTTTTATTCAGTTTAAGAAGCCTATCATTGTAGCAGTAAATGGCCCAGCCATTGGACTTGGAGCATCTATATTGCCTCTATGTGACGTGGTTTGGGCTAACGAGAAGGCTTGGTTTCAGACACCATACACTACTTTTGGACAAAGTCCAGACGGATGTTCATCCCTTACATTCCCTCGGATAATGGGCCTGGCTTCTGTAAGTAGCTTGCAGGGTTGGGGCTGACAGCTTCACAATGCACTTGTGATAATTTATCCATAGTGATTTCAAGACTTTTTACCCTTGCTGTGTTGTCTTTTTTTTTTTTTTTTCTTTCTCTCATGAAAAGCTTTCATGAGAAACCAGTATTTATAGCTTCTCTGCTCCGTGCTTTTACAACCTAGTCTTCATCCACGTGCACAGAACAGAAAGTAGTCACGGGACCTAATCCCATGTCACGGGCACCCTTAACGAGGATCAGGACAGAAGGGTTCTGTCCTGCGTGCCAGGACACACCTTCCCTGCTGCTGCCTTGTGAGGACCAGCCACCGGTATCTTGCATTCCGCACAGCATCAGGGTGTGGCGGAGAACGGGCTGGTCAGCACTCGGTGTCCTTACGTAGCAGAGCACTGTGTCACCAGCTATTAGCAGTCTCATGCCAGTATGCAAAATAAATGATTCGGCTTTCATGCACTCGTTCTCAAGAAATCGTGTCAAACTTCCTTGCTCTGTAGATCTCTGTTTAACACTAGTGTGTTATGCAAGAAGTACTTGGTCCGAATCACCTTTGTGAAGGACATTTTTTTTTTCAGTCTTGCACTCAAGTTACAGTATTGCTGGGTTGAAAAAAATAGAAAAAGGTAACGCTTTGTATTGTTGCTGAAAACATAAGCCACGTGTTACTTAGTATCTCTTTTCTTGCTTTCCAATTAGATGAAAGAATCAAATGTAACAAAAAGCTATTTTAAAATCTCTTACCAACATTATTTTCATGTTGCTTGCTATTTTTATGCTGTGTTCTTTGAAAACTGTTAGATCTATGCCCCATTCCAATTTGAAGTTGAACAGTAACAGTATGAAACAAGGGCACATAGCTACACCTGGTTTTCCTAAATTACTCTTTGTTATAGAAGCCAGTTTTTCCCTGAAGGTATTTCTTGATTTAAAAATACAGATTTCAATATATTAAAAGCATTAGCTTGAACAGATCTAATGACTAATTGTGCGATGTCTGGATTTAGTTATTAGAAGAGAACAGAAAAGGTAACTGAAATAGATTAACAGTTATAAGAGTATCTTGAATATCTTAGCATGTTTCAAACTACTGATTGTTCCTTTCCCTTTTTATTTGGCCATCCGTTCATCCATCCATCCATTCCATCCATCCCTGTCCTTTAGAGACTTGTGGTTGTTACTTTTTGTTTCTTTAGAAGTTGTACAAAACACAAGCAGCTCTTCCCTAGTATACGCTTTCATGTGTGTTTGTGAATGCTCTCATTTTTAAATATAAAGATTTAAATTGAAAGCTTCCAGTGATAACAATTCCATAATATTCAGTGCAAAAGGGAAAAACAAAGTCCACTGTTTTCATACTATCCTCAACTCTCTGCAGTATAGCAGTGTCAATGCTGTACAGGACAAAGTTGGATTTTAAACAGCAGATTTCATGAAATATACTCAGAATCCATACTGAAAATTTTGATCAAGTAGCATGCTTTCTATCTATAAAAGAGAGAGAGAAGTCAGCAGAAAGAAGAGATGGTACGAGTGAGATAAGAAACATTCAGGGGAAAAAAATTAAAATATCATACAAATGGAAGATCTAAGGCCTCTGTATGCATTGTAAAATTTGCTACAAATGCATTAATTCAGCAATATGAGTCCCACCCTTAACTCTTGTTAGTCTGATTCAGTGCATTCTTTTTTATCATCAGCAGTTATGTAAAAATCTTCAATTGTAAGACTGTTGGAAATATTTTCCTTACCAGGTCAGTCTTGGCTGGTGAGCAAGTCTGTCATGGAGGGGTTTTTTCACAAAGCATGCTCAACAGAGGTCATTATTACAGGAAATCTGAAGCCCAGACCTTAGGATTCAAAACTGATGCTGTATTGGGAATACCAAGAGTTTTAGAAGGATTCTTAAACTTACTTGGCTCTTGAGTTTTGAAAACAGCCTGTAATAGAGATTAAGGTGAGATCTGTTTGGGGAGATATGTTATTGTGAGTCTGCTGTGGAGTTCTTGGTCTGGTTTTCTGGTCCTGAATATAACGCACAGGAGCCGCACGATCAACCTTCACACACTGTGGGTTTCCCTGTCACTCTCCAACACACTTGGCAGTATTCCTTATGCTTTTCGGTCAGTCGTGAGGGATACGCATCTCCACAGTGCCCGTAGCCCACACCGCAGCCAGCACCTCGGGCGTTACAGAGACCAGCTGCCTCCTGATCGTAGTGCGAGACAGCCGAGATGCTCCATGGCATGTAGCGCCTCTGTGCTTCCACGGGTGGTCCCCTGTCAGCCTCAAAGTTCTTGCTGTAAAAGAGAGACCAGAGGAGGTCCCAGGGAAGTTCCTCTGTGGAAGGAGAAAGACAGACTGAGTAGAAAATGAAGGTTGTTAATGAGAATCTTACATTAATAATTTTATCATCATTATTCCTATTGCTGTATTCTATTTCTTGGAAAATAACTACCAAGTGTGTTAATTTTCACAGCAAATACAAGGCATGGTTATATGATTAAAACTTGTTTAGCAGTGGGTCTCCAGCGTATGCTGTGTATAGATCAAAAGTGAAGATGCCAGAGCAAAACATTTCCCCTCAAAACCTGTCAAGTGAGAGAACACTAATGGGAGCGCTCATTTCATGTGAGGTTTTCTGCTAATGCTTTGTGAGGGCTGGCAGAAGTAAGCTAACTGCACCATTATCATTTGTGGCTTTTCACGTTCAGGAGAACTCAGCAGTTGCTAATGAGTTTTAGAAAAAGCTTAAGGTTTTCTAGCATTCATTTTTATCCCTGTTACCAAAGATATATGAGAAGAATATGTATACCTGACCAGCTGACTTAAATTTCTGACTTTCCTAACTCCCAGTTAGGTTGGCTTCATAATTTGATCTTTGATATAAATGTTAAGTATCTTTTTAAATTATTTTGGAAGAATTTTTTTTCCACATCTCCTTAGGAAAATTATTCCTGTTTTTTGACAACCTCGTGTATAACACTGATTTTTTGGATAGTGTTTCAGGCTAGTATTATTTACATATAATCTGGAAAATTAGATGGTATAGTTGTGATAGCTAATGAACCTTGTATATTTGATTTTGCTTTCACAGAAGGTAGAACTATTGGGGTAGATAATTTGTACCTTTAGTTTGAGGCTCATTTTTTTTTTAAACTAGTATATGTGAATCACAGCTTTCCATAGTAACTTATGAGAGTTATGCCGATGACAAACGTTATGTAAAAGATCTTCGGAAACATCTCTCTTTTTACATGCCTAATAGACTGCGAGTCAGCAACCAAACTGCTGGTAGAACCCAGACTTTGTACTTCATTACTAAGGGGCAAGTAATAGACCTTGGAGTTTTCAAATTTCTTCGTGTGTAAAATGACAATACTCAGGTACATTACCTACAGTAATTAGATAACTTGAGATCCTTAACTAAAGTTGCTGTAATTATTACCAAAATGTCCAGTATTAGAAAACATTAAAGAAACTCAGAATTCTGGCCTCAGAAATGCTACACCTGTCAGGTTTGGATGTTTTACAACAGCCTTATTTCCTATATTTCAAGAGTCCAGTGATGGCTTTGTCATATTTTCAATGTGAACTGATTGTCTTTTTTTTTGACATTGACATTCCCTCTGACTCTTTAATCATTGCTGGCTGTTTCCATGCCGCTCTCACTGCAAACAAAGTTTAACTATATAAGAAACTTCACTACACATAGAATTAAAGTGTAAGCATAAATCATTGTAGGATGAAGCTTTAATGGGGAAGCTGATAAATAGTGAAGTGTATGATAATTACAAATCAAAAAGATTCACAGAAGTAGACATCACCTTATTGCATAGAATATACTATGTTCTGTACCTTTAAACTAGTGCAAGATCTTTTAAATACTGGGTTGTTTGGTTTGGTTTTTTTTAATAAGACTGCTAAATCAGCTTTTGAAAGGATTTATGAGTTCAATATTGAACTCCTGAATAAAATGGGAACATTTATTTTCTATGAATTTGATCCAACTTTGGAATATATCCTGCTCACTTCAGAAGGTTTTGGAGGTCATTTTAGAATTTCTAAGATGTTCCGCTATTTTAAATGAAATACTGCTGAAGACTTTTGAGAAGTGCTGAAAATAAACCATATATTTAGGTTGCAAACATTTTCAGTACTAAAAAACCATTTTCGTTGCAAAATATTTAGCTGTTCTTTTCTACCAAGACTGGCAGTTCCCAGGAAGTCTACTACCAAAACTAGGTTATCTTTATAATTTACAGGTAATATAAACTTTTAGCAAAGACTTCATTGCTGCAACTAACATTATTATAAATGATGAGCTGATGTATTCATTGCTGTTTTACAGATCTGCCAGGCATTATAACCTATCACTACATATACAGTTAACCAAGTCAGCAATACTGCAAGAAAGCTAGCCCTAACAAACATTCATGAATGGGAAATGACAAAAGACATTTTCACATTTAATCCATATTTTTAGAACAACTGATGTAGTATAGTCACCAACATTGACCAGCTTATCTGTAGGCAAGGCTTTTTCTTTATTAATGACAAGTTGGAAGAGCTATAATAAAACTATTTGAAATAGTGCAGGCATTTTCCTTATTTGTTTTGAACACTTTTCTTTTAATGAGTTTTGTCTCATTACATTTCATACCAGAAGTAACTTTTTATCCCTTCAGGCCAATGAAATGTTGTTCAGTGGAAGGAAGCTGACAGCACAGGAAGCTTGTGCCAAAGGACTCGTCTCTCAAGTGTTTTGGCCGGGAACATTCACACAGGAAGTAATGGTTCGAATTAAGGAACTTGTCACATGTAATTCAGTTGTAAGTTTCCTTTATTTCTTACATTTTTATAATTAGATTGATAAGAGGTATTATTATACTTCATCATTATGTCCTTCTAAAAAAAAGACTATTTTCATGAAACAAGGACCATATTTTAGTATAGCAATGTCTTTTAACACATTCTTATGTATCTTTTTGTTTCTGAGTTTTTGAGGATTTTTTTTTTTTTAAGTTTGTAACTGATTCTTCTTTATCAGAGGCCTGTGCTGGTTTTGACTGAGATAGAGTTAATTTTCTTCATAGTAGCTAGTATGGGGCTATGTTTTGGATTTGTGCTGAAAACAGTGTTGATGATACAGGGATGTTTTTGTTATTGCTGAGCAGTGCTTACACAGAGCCAAGGCCTTTTCTGCTTCTCACACCACCCTGCCAGGGAGGAAGCTGGGGGTGCACAAGGAGTGGGGAGGGGACACAGCCGGGACAGCTGACCCAGACTGGCCAAAGGGATGTTCCATACCACATGACGTCACACTCAGCAATAAAAAGAGGGGGAAATTTGGGGGAGGGGGGGCTGCTGCTTAGGGGATTGGCTGGGCATAGGTTGGTTGGTGGTGAGCAACTGGTTTTCAATTGCATCACTTGTCTTCCTTTGGGTTTTCTTTCTCTCTCCTTTTGTTATTTTCCTTTTCATTACAATTTGTTGTTATATTTTTGGTTCCATTATTAAAATGTTCTTAACCCATTAATTTTCTCACTTTTACCCTTCCAATTCTCTTCTCCCCCCACCCCCCATCCTGCTGGGAGGGAGGGGTGTGAGTGAGTGGCTGTGTGGTGTTTAGTTGTCAGCTGGGGTTAAACCATGACAATGCCATAGTACATTGTGGTTAAGAACATTAAAATAGCATTAGACTTTTAACAATATGTTTTGGTTTTAACATAGTTGCATAAGCCCAACTTCTTCTAATCAACAGTGTAAACAGTTGCCATAAGAACTACACAGAAACATAGAAATCTTGAGTTGTAATTTAATGTCTTGCATTGTAATTTAAATTACCAAGGAAATAAATGCAGTCTTTGCCATTGTGTTGAACTTGGAGTTTTACAAGTAACGCCTAGTGCTTTCATGGTTGTGTGCACTACTGGCAGTTGCACAAGATAGCTAAAATGACCAATATTTTGATGGTTTCTTACAAGAAGAGATGCAGTACAAGTTAACTGTTCTATGCATTAGAAATTTTGGATTTTGAAACAGATTGTTTTCTAAAGGGAAAAGCAAACAAGATTTTTCAGTCTATTTTAAATGCTCAAGAGATTCAAAGTCTGCCTGGTTATTAGAGCAGTTCTGGATAATAATATTATGACTTGCCTTCACAAAAATGGAATTTTTCTCTCATTTTTGGAGTTTTCTCTAGTTATCAGGATAAAACTGTGAAATAAATATATACATAGTTATGATGTTATGACTTTCATTATTTCCACATTTTTGTGCATTTGTAAATTGTGCTGGTATAGGGTAAAGGAAGTCCTGTGTGATGCTACAAGCAAGACTGAGAAATGTTTCTTAGTGTAATAGTATGTCCATGAATTGATAAGCTTACGTTCATAATAAACTTCAGGATTTGTCCATATAAACCTGTAAGTGCACATGTTGCTCAGTTCTCATGTAATGCTGACTCAACTACCTCCCTTTTTTTTGACCTAGGTACTTGAAGAATCCAAAGCTTTAGTACGTAATATCATGAAGGTGGACTTGGAACAAGCAAATGAAAAAGAGTGTGAAGTTTTGAAGAAAATCTGGGGCTCAGCACAAGGGATGGACTCAATGTTAAAATATCTGCAGAAGAAAATTGATGAGTTCTGATGAGAGATGCCCATTGACACTGGAATTGTATTTCTTGGACATCAGGGCAAGCAAAATATGCCCATTTAAAAAACCCTGTAGAAACTCACCCCTTGCCTAGCTTGGGAACAGGAGTGGATTTCCCCACCCCCACCCCACCACACCCCTTTTATTGTCAAGGGGTTTAAAAGGAAGTACTGTATCACTTAAATTTGAACAAAACTCCTTTCTCCCTGATTGTTGCGGATAGATATACACACACACACAAGTGTATGTGTGTGCTTATATATGTCTT